AGCACAGCTTACTTTTGAATTTTCAGGGCATCCCACAGCTCCAAACAACTTTTCAAACTTCCTCAACCAGTTTTCCAATATGGTAGGATCAGGCTCCCCTTGATATGTAGGTGGCTTACTTTGAGCCACCTTCTTAAAAATCTCCCCCTAGGCATCCCCATTACCATTTGAGTTTCTTTCCAACTATTAGGCAACTGCTTCCAATTGCCTCACTACTTCACTAAGTTCGTTTCCATCGGTGTTAGTACTGCTTCTCCCTGCCATCTTTCTTCTCCTGAATTAAAAGAATAAGGCTCTAAATTAAATATGGTTTAGGTTATCTCCCAAGCCATACACTCATTTATTCATTAATACCCTTTAAAACATTCACAATAAATTTGAAGCTAGTGAATTTTGGGGTATAAGTACTAAAATTCCCAAAATTCGTAGCTTTATCAATTAATTATTGATTGCTAACCAACCATACATTTAATAAAGCATCACATAAATAAATAAAAGTAATTCCCATGAACCCTCAAGGCTTGAAACTATGAATTAAATTTAATTGGAGGAAGGTTTGTAGATTTGGGATAGCAATACGTGATGAAAAGAAATTAGAGATTGAATTATTTATTGTGATTGGGATGAATTAAATTGACAGAAGGAATTAAAGAAATAAGTGGAATTTTATTGATGTAAGGAAAGAATAAAATACTGAAATATAAATGAGTTTAATCACTTATGAATTTTCATAAGTTCATCACTGAATCCTTGGCATACCACTTATTACTTAGACTGTAAATAATGACAATATTGAAAATAAACTAAGAGTTCCTACTGAAAAGAAATTATAGGAGTTTAATCCGTTCGGACATTGTCCCTTTTGTCAGTGGATTGTTTGTAGCTTGAAGGATCGAAGTCAGAATCATTTGTCTCCTCCATTGGTTCAGGTGACTCAGGTTCGGGTTCTACTTATACAAACTCCCCTTCTTCCTCCTCATCAGATGAAATGTCTATTATTGTTGGAGTAGGAGGTGGATTAGGATTAGGAATCTCCATAAGTGAACTATCTCCCTCTTATTGTTCTCCATTTTCTGCCTGATTACCCCCTGACGAAGAAGAAGAAGAATTTCCTGGTTGTTGATTAGGAGGAGGATTGTTCCCTACTGTATTATCATAGTAGTAGTCAGGGTAGGGAAGATTTAAGTGCTGACTGTAGACATCTACTTTTAGCCTCCTGTCCCGACAGGAAGTGCAATGACAATAAATAAAAAATCTTCGTGTTGGATCAAAGTAAAGAATGCTTATGGATAACTGGTTAAGCCACAAAACACAAAAGACTAGCCTAGATAAAAGAACAAGGCCAACACAAGGTCCAAATTAACTAAACCCGATCATAATTAGGCTTAATCTCGTGCTTAAAACCCAATAATGACGGATTTAGGAGCATCTAGGTTAAAATAAAAGCTGCCGCGGAAAATATCGCGCGCATCTCACAAAGTCGCGCTCAGCAGTCGCGCGCAACTTATTAAGTTGTGCGCGACAGGCCGCGCAACTTTCAGAGATGCGCTCACGTAAGATTCAGAATATTAAAATATTGGAAAATCGAATCTTACCATAGAGTTACGCGCAAGACAAATAGTTGCGCGCATATACCGCGCGCGACCTATTCACTTGCGCGCGACAGCCGCGCGCTACCTATTCACTTGCGCGCGACAGCCGCGCGCAACCTACTCAGTTGCGCGCGACACCTGCTGCGGCAGAATGCTCTAAACCCTAAACCTAATCATTCCCTATAAATAAGGGCCTAATCGGAGGCTTCAACACAGAAAATTAACCTAAACGCTGGCAGAATACTTGTGAACTTGTGCATCCAAACCCTCTTGTCCTAAACACTCACCCTTTTCGATATTTTGTTACTACGGTGGAGGTTCCCCAACAAGAAGGAGTCCATAAGTGTTCTAAATGGAGATCTAGCAAAGAGAAGTGGTAAATTCCCGAGCACTTAGTTAAATCACCATTATTTTTATTGTTTAAAAGAACTTTAATGAATTAATTAGTGTTGTTTGATCGCCTTAAAATAATAAATTAATTGATTTCACATAGTATTCTTTCGTTAATCAAGATTAGAATTGAATAAAATAATTGTTGGTTGATCACCTAAGTCAAGGCGAATATTGTTTATTTTATTGTTCTTTTCACGAATTTGATTAAATAAGAATAACGACCTTACGACGTAATTCCTATGTGAATTAATGTGTGTAAATAAAATCAATTAACATAGTTTTTACGTATCACGTTGCATATATTGTTTGGCAATGAAATTGTGCAAAGGAAGAGCTAGTAGAGGCCGCACTAGGGCTAGGATCACGATTCCCCTCTAAAGGGAACATTATCTTAGTACCCTCACTCCCGAACTCATTTCTGGTTTTCTAGACCAATTTGGGCATGGGTAAACTTATGATTCATGCTAAATATCCCTTGAACTCTACTTGGGAGAAAGGCATGAACGAGGTTTATGGGTTTTTCCTAAAACTCATTGGCGACTCCTACTTGTTTCTTACAAAAAAGCGTATATGATAGAATCATCTCTAATTCAAAGATCTCCCAAACAGTCAGGAATTCAAATCCTAATACACCCTAATAAGTGTAAAGTCCTAGGCTTTAAGGGGCCATGGGCATCTAAGGAGAAGGATCCCCTACGATGGGAACACCCTCCTTACAGTGGCGACTCCACTGGGGACTTAGAGGTTACATGATTAGTTCGTAGTTATGGTCCAAGGTATCCAACACCAGGTTACCTATGGGTTGTAACGAGAGCTAACTTAGATAATCTCTAGTTAGAGAGCGAGACTTGAATGCATAATATCTTCCTTTTGCACAAAACTAAAAGTCAAACAAGCAACATTGCTTCATGCGTAAGTATAGCTCACTTAAACCATGGGGATTGGCTCATTGACTAGGGGTTGCCAACACCAGGCTTCTATCCCGAAATCAATAACAATTATCCCACCCATATCACCAACAAAACGTTGGGAGAGCGATGTCATGAGTCAACTCGTTCAGTGATTGATTTGTGCGTCGTTTCTTAAGATATGGTACCTTGGACACCCAAGCCTTTTCGACCTTAGAATGGAAATATGTGGATTATAACTTGTGGCATGCTTATGTGATTACATGACTATATGCAACGTGTTAGGATAGATTTCTTTCTTCTTTTTAGCTTAGTCTAGGTTCCTAATTACAAAGTCGTCTCTTCGTAATTTAGAGTCATATTCAACGGGTAACATAAAAAAAAAAGAACGATGTAAAAAAAAAAGAAAAAAGTCATACGAGCAGGTGGCGCGCGCAACTCACAGCTTTGCGCGCCCATACCCAGCGCAAGAAAATTAGTTGCGCGTGACATCCGCGCGCAACTCAATTACTTGCGCGCACCCACTGTACGAGTCAGTTTTGATTTTTCAAAAAATAAGTTGATTCGTTAAAATGATATCTTTATTCAAGAATTGTTGGGGGCAATGTTATCCGTTCGAATATATCTTACGTCATTTTCTTTTTTCTTTTTCTTTTTCTTTTCCTTCTTCCCCTTCTAAGCAAGCATATTGGTTTACTTATCCTTTCGTACTTCTTTAGGGCCGGTTTCCAATCTTGGGAAAGAAGAATCCCGGGTGCTCTCCTTCTACGTTTACCACCTAAAGATTCAACCCTTTCAAACCTTCGACAACAAGTCCTAGTCCAATAATGATGTCTACCATTCAAGAACTTCAAGATGAGATTCTTCGTTTGAGAGAAGAAAAGGCTCAAGAAGCCGAGGAAAAGAGAATTAAGAAAATTGAAAAGGCTAGTAAGAAAAATGGAAGCTTTAGCCTTACAAGAAAAGATGGAACAATTATCCATCAAAGAAAAGTCGTTAGAGAAGCTAGTTCTTCGTTCTACAATGGGTAACAAGTACTTTGACGCAGAAAAGTTTGCTCCTCCCGCAAGACTTGCTTTACTGGAAAAGTTCGTAGCTACGGACTTACCAATATTCAAGGTGACCAATAATCCACAAAATCATTTAATGTGTTTTACTGGCACCATGACACTAAAGGGGGTTGATCCTAAGCTTTACGCTTTGACTTTCCCCTTGTATCTAGACCCAACCGCAAGAGAGTGGTACTATGGGCTAGACCCAAAATTCAAAGCAACATGGGAAGATGTAGTTTCGGCTTTCATTACCCAATATGAGAGTAACGTAGAGTTCAAGTCCACTCTACGTGAACTCGAAATGCTTAAGCAAGGCGACGATGAAGGTTTCCTTGCTTTCTATGGTAGATGGCGAGAAAAGGCGGCCCACCTTGCCCAAAGGCCGCCCAAACTCGAGCTAGTACAAAATTTTATTGACAACTGTCATGAAAAGTACAACAAGCATCTACGTTACCTTGGTTTAGACACTTTCCAAAAGGTCTATTCCGTGGCTACTAGGATTGAAGATGATCTTGCTAAAGAAAAAGCAAATAAGCCTCATTATCATAAACCTAAAAATAACTACAAGAAGGGGAATGATGGCTCATCATCCTTTATTGATGTATTTGCGACCTCCACGCAATACCACAACACAAATCAATATAATGATCCTAGGAAAAGATGGACAAAAGAAAGAAAATTAACTCCATTTCCTGTAAGCTATAAAGAATTGTTAGAAAAATTAAATGAAAAAGGCTTACTTGCACCAACAGGACCAACACCACCCACTCCACCAGAAAGAAGGTTTCCTAATTGGGATGGAAATGCTTATTGTGCTTATCATAGAGGCAATAGACACGACACTAAACGTTTCTTTGTCTTAAAACATAAAATACAGGATTTGGTAGACGATGGGAGAATGCCCACGCCTAAACCAAACAATAATGCATCCCCCTTGGGGGTGTTTCACATCGATTTACTACAAAATGAGTGTTTTTCGACGCTTATGCATAGACGCTAAGGAAAGGGCGTCAGCACGTGAATTTAGTATCCGCGTTTTTTCGACGCTTTAGGTGACAAAAGAAATTTTCGTCTCTAGAAAGCGTCGATAAGTCAAGCACATGTCACGCACGTGAATGGTTTGTACCTCGTAAGTCGCAACTTAGCCCACGTTTCAAACTTTCAATTCTAAGGTGAAAATAAACCAAAAAAAAAAAGACGACTAAGTTCTCAACTTCTCAACCCTGACTATTCCCCCCTCCGTGAGATCAATGGTCTGTAAATCTAGTTCTTAACTCTACTTGCAATTCGGTGAAATTTCTCTACTCACTTTGAATTGTAATCAATTTTGTCACTCTCTAATTCTACGCCGCCGTTAATTCTAAGGTAAATCTTTCATTTTAGAATTCTAATTTTGCTTTTGATTGAAGTCTATTATATTGTTTTTAGCAAATTTTTTTCAACATTATCACAAAATAATGATCAGATTTTGTTTGATTAATGAATAACTGAGATTATAGGGTTTTATTAGTTATAAATATGGTTTATGCTTCATTATGCGATTTACTTTTGAATTTGGATTCGGTTATAAGAAATAGTATAGTCAGATTTCATTTGTGAATTTAAAAGAGGTGTATATTCAAGAAAAGCGTTTTGCTGAAGAGAGAGAAAGTGAAAAAATGGTGAAGCCTTTGGGATCAACAATTGAATTCTTCAGGAGACGCGATGAGTGGAGGAAGCACCCCACTCTCTGCAACCAACTCCGTTTCCGTCACGCTGTTCCTGGCCATGGTCTTGGTGTCGGCGCATTTTGAGTTTACCTCGTCGGCGAAACCATCTACAATCAGTTCTATGCTTCCTCTCATTCTTCTTCTTCTCACCATTGAGTTTCAAGATCAATCGTCTACTTGGGTATTTCTTCTTCTTATTTTATTTATTATTTTTGATCTTTAATCTATTTATACTCTAAATAATTGATTTTTGAATAATGGGTGTTGTTTTATTACTCTTAATTTTCAATGATAGAATGACTCGATTAAATTCAAGTTTAGAAGTAAATTTGTAAAGAGAAGTTGATATTTTATGATGCAATAAGAAATTGAAGCAAAAAGTACCAAACTGAAATGGCAGCTTCTTGTTCCCTTTGACTATATTTAATTGGTTGATATTTGTTTATTTTTAGTTAGTTTTAATCAAATGCAATTCATCTTTGTTTGTATCTCTTACCTAGCCAATGTTACTTGTAATTTTTTAAGTTCTTATATGAAATTTCAATTTAATACTTAATACCTCCTCTAGATCTAGTCGGTGCTTTTTGGGGGCATATTTATTTGGGTTTTCCCTTGTCATTTGATCTGTGACTCTGGGATTTTGCATTGGATTTTAGAAAAGTGAAGCCACAATTTGATGTTGTTGGTGTAATGTTAGAGGTGTTGTCAAAGCCCATTTGCTTAGAGATTTGTTACATCTCTTTGCATAGTCATTTTGTTTAGTTAATAACTGAGTTGAAGAATACTTATTATCAACTATGAAATAAGAAGATTACTCCATGCTCAATCAGTAATTTAGTGGCTTTAATTTTTTTTTGTTCACGAGTTGATATTTATTTAGATATACTTATAGTAATTGAAAATTCCTTTATAAGTACCAAAACATGAAAAAATGGGTCTTACTAGCTTTTTGCAATATGACACACCTTTGTGTAATCAAAGAGATCTTTCATGTTTGTAAGAGAAAATAAAGGAGAGTTCATTTTATTTTTATTTTTATTTTTAATTTGATTTCAACTGAACTCTCAATTGCGATTAATTAAGAGGGTTTGAAGAAGTTTTTTCTCCACTTGCTGCTTTTGTGCCAATTTGTTGCCTACTTGATCTCCCTACTGCTCTTGTCTTGCTGACATGGAAGCCTCATAGCAGGTGACTTGGCAGCAGGTTGGGTGTTGCAAGTACGTATGTGCTGGTGCTTTTGTTATTAATTTTTGTTCTGTTTTTGTTCTTATTTGATGTTGCCGCTGTTATTGTTCTGACGTTGTTGTTGCATGCGTTGAGGTGTTTTTGCAAACTTGCTACTCCCTTCTTTTGCTGACAAAGTTGCTGGCCTGCAGCCCCAACTATAATCATGGTTGTGATTGTGTCTTATCTTGTGTGTGTGTGTGTGTGTTCGTGGTTGTGATTGTGTCCTATCTTGTGTGTGTTTGTGGTTGTGATTGTGTCCTATCTTGTGTGTGTTTGTGGTCGTGACAGACTCGAATCTATAAAAGAAACAAAATTATGTAATAATAACTTACCTATAGGACTCTCGGATTCGATTTAATGAAGTTAAGCTTACATTATTTTCCAAGGAGGTCAGCAATTGCTTTATAGTGGAAACAAAATTCACTAGCTTTTCTGGAGATACATCTATTTATTTAAGAACATTTTCATACTTATTTATAGGTAAAAGAGCCATTTTATGTGCTAGGTTTTTGTATACATCTTTAAACCTTTTGTTTGGGTAAACTTTTGTCCCTTCATTAGAAATTTGATGCAAGGTGATATAAGCTATAATAAAAAATAGAGCAAGGATAGTGACTTCACACTGCTATAATTGTAATTAGGATTAGTTGTAGTTGCTCTTTTAAAAAAGGTAAGGTATGATTTTGAGTTTTTCATGTCTAACTGTTTTAGTTAGACTTTGTTATAATTTGTGTTTGGTCGGCGTGTATTTAATTAATCTTACTTTCTGTTCTATATCCTCCCTTTCTTAGGCCTTGTTCTTTTGAGCTTCTGGGCAGAGCAGAGCAGATTTCAGCAAAGCAGAGCAGAGCATAGCAGATTTCAGCCGAGCCGAGCAGAGCAGAGCAGATTTTATTATTATTATTATTATTATTTTATTATTATTATTATTATTATTATTATTATTATTATTATTATTATTACTACTACTATTATTATTATTATTAAATATTAATTATTATTATTATTATTATTATTATTATTATTACTACTAATATTATCACATTATTATTATAATCATTAAATTTTTAAAGTTAAATATTAATTATTATTATATTAATTATAATTATTATTAAATATTATTTAATTATTATTATTAAAAATTAATAATTAGTATTATCTTTAAATATTAGTCATTATCTTAATATTAATTGCTATTATAAAAATCAATTATTGTTATTATAATTAATATTATTAGTTACAAATATTATTATTACTGTTAGTATAATTACTATTATTATTATTATTAAATATTAATTATCATTGTTATTATTATTTTTATTAATAATTATTAATAATTTATTATTATTATTATTATTAAATATTAATAATTAATAATTATTTTATTTATTTATTTTTATTAAATATCAATAATTAATTATTGTTATTATTATTATTAAGTATTAATTATTATTATTATTATAATTAAATATTAAATATTTATTATTATTAAATATTATTTATTTATTATTATTATTATAAAATATTAATTATTATTATTATTAAATATTAAATATTAATTATTTATTATTATTAAATATTATTTATTATTATAATAATTTAATATTAAGTATTAATTTTAAGTAGAGTAGAGCAGGGCAGAGCAGATTTCAGCAAAGCAGAGCAGAGCAGAGCAAAGCAGATTTCAGCAGAGCAGAACAGAGCAAAGCAGCTCTAAAGAACGGGGCCTTAGTTGTTTTTTCAAGACTTTATTGTTGGTGAGCTGCTAGTACTGATCTTCATCCATTTTTTTTTATTTTTTTTTATTTTGGTGGGCTATTGGCTTGAGCTAGGATATTGCAATCTGAAACAATATTATATCACTAATGTTGTGACCTGCATATCAGAGCAGCTACTCTAAGTTCAAAGAAGAAGAGGTTGTTAGCCACATTCTATCGCTGGTTGACTGGTTTAACATGCAATTTGGCAAATGATGTCTTATCTTTTGAGTGTGTGGATATCCTTAATACTTTTGGTATGTTCTTTGCTCCATAATTAGTTATGAAAGTCGGTTGTGATTTTGGTTTGCATAAATTATTAGGTGGAAAATATTTTTTAAAGATTGTATTCTCTGTATAGTTAGTAATTTTGATCTACTATTGTCTTTAGATTCGTTTGTTGATGTATTGATTGATGCGCATGCTGAAATGTGTTTGCAGGATTAAAAAGATTATACACTGACAACTAACACTGCAATATTTCAAGGTTGGAAGAAAGATATATTAGATATTTAAAGGTTTTAATCAATGATTCGGAATTTGTTCCACTACAACTAGTCACGAATGAAGTATAAGTTGGAATTATATTTATTGAAAACTCGTTACTATGAGATATTGTAAATATGCTATAATATATATTTATAAGAAAAAAAAAATTGGCATAATTTTGTTGTACACGTATTTTTTTTTTTTGGTGATATTAATAGGTAGAAATAATTGTCGATTGTGACGCTTTGTATAAAAAATTGGACAAAATAAAGCGTCGATATTCGCGACGCTTTTTTACGTCCAGAAAAATTCTCGACTCACATATTCTCGACGCTTTTTAAAAGCGCCGAGAAAGATTTTTGTGACGCTTTTCTGTGTCGAAAAACAGGCTTAAAAGCGTCTAAAAACACGTCTTTTGTAGATATGGGAAGCGATACGTTCAATCCATTGAACTACATCACACCTATAGGAGAACCTCTACCCACAATACTCATAGGGGCAACTAATGAAGTATGTGTGCTATGGGACGATGACTTACAAGACTTATATATCTCTAAGTATGTCGCCGTCCCACCTCCATCTTGTTTACAAAATGAAACAAATGGAGCGCTTAATTGGGATTATTTCTTGGGGAAGTCACAAGACTTATCAAATCTCTTCTTGGATGAACAATGACATCAAGCTCAACTCATGGAACATCTTGAAATGGAGGCACACTCAAAGCCTCTAGAAGAAAGTTGGTTCATAAGTCCTACAACTAATCCAAACGAGATAGATCATTTAACTCGTTCTGGACGAATTTACCAGGCACCACCACCAAATGGATCTTCGACCACGCAAAATCAAGGTAAAGTACAAAATAAAATATCACCTCCTCTTGAGGTGGAAGATCCATTGGTCAAACAACTTCACCAATCCAAGGCGAATGTTAGCATTTGGGAACTCCTAAGTACTTCTAAAGAACATAGGAATTCCCTTATGAACGCTCTAACGGCTTTGTCTGTAAGCACAGACACAACCCCTCAAGATCTCGTTAGCTTACTTACTAGCGAGAAATCTGACAAGTTAATCATTTTCACTAATGATGATTTGCCTTCAAAAGACACTACCCACAACAATGCATTATACTTAACTGTGGGGTGCAAGGGATATAACATCCCTCTAACTTTGGTAGACAATGGGTCAGTTGTAAACGTATGCCCATTGCGAACTGCAAAATATTTAGGCCTTAATCCAGAAAAAGATTTTCAATCAACAACACAAAGCATTAGGGCCTATGACAACTCGAGAAGATCGGTTTGTGGAACTGTTAAGCTACCAATACCACAGGCCCAATACAAAAGATGGTTGAATTCCATGTTATAGACATAAAACCTACATTCAACCTTTTACTTGGACGTCATTGGATACATGAGCTTGGTGCAATACCATCCTCACTTCATCAAATGATTAGGTTGAACTATCAAGGGCTTCTTATGACTATACATGCTTCTCCACTAAAAATAGCATTAAACGATCAACCACTCCTAGAAATAAACCATGACAATGATGAAGAGGACATGTGGGGATTCGCCGCGGAGCCAATCTGCACAATAGAAATGGAAGAAGACTTGGAAGAACCTTTATAGCTTGATCCATATTCCTCCCAGATAGTAAACAACATCTTATTTAAGAGTAGTTACTTTCCTGGGATGCCTTTGGGAATAGGAATGAAGAAATCTTTCTTACTTCCTATCCCAAAGAAAAGCTTCTCCTTTGAATTGGGATACAAACCAACTAAAGAAGAATTGAAGTCTCACGATGCGAAAAGAAAGGCACGTAGAGATGACAACAACAAGGGGATAGTCACTTTACTCCCATCCTATCAACAAACCCTTAATGGAAAATTCATTAGGGAGGGAGAAGACTACCCATGCTATGACTTTCCAGAACCATTGGTTTTGGAAGGAATCAAGAAGCCTGGATTCGAAATATTTCATGATTGCTACTTCTTGGATGACGATTTTAGTATCGTTAAATCAAAGTAGCCAACTCCAGGGTGCTATGATAGGCAAACATTCAACTTGCTATTTGGACTAGAGCAAAATCATGTCGCTACAATGACCAATCAAAATGCCATCCAGGATGAAGCATTTGACCCAACTTCATTGATCAACCCTTCTAATGAAACCTTGGAGCATGGATGGAGGAAATCTTTCATATGGACCAATCACAAAGGCGATAGGCTGGAAATCGTCACAGGCGAAGGGAAGATGTTTGAAGAATCGGACGACGAATCTATTATAGACTCTAGGGAAGCTGAAAATTTAGGCCTTGTGGCCATTACCGAGTCTTTATTTTCTAGTTCTAAGGATGAAGATCCCAAAAAGGATTCTTCTCTTAATGTACTTTCTTTTGATTCTAATAATATGAGCTCTATCTCCGAGTATATGCCTTCTTTTGAATCTTTTGAATGCTATAATAATCAATCTAATGAAGATGATAACATTAATAAGTTGGTTGAACTAATGAATGAACGAGAACAAAAGAACCCTATCATTGAGAAACTGAAACAATCAATATGGGAACTAATGAAAACAAAAGAGAAGTCAAAATTGGCTTAACTCTAAATCGGAAGAGCGATCGACCCTCATATCGACGCTCAAAGAATTCGAAGACGTGTTTGCTTGGTCATACAAGGACATGCCTGGAATAAATAGGGAAATCGCGGAACATACCATTCCCTTGAACCCTACCTCTAAACCAGTAAAACAAAAACTTCGACGAATGAAACCTGACATCGCACTAAAAATAAAAGAAGAAGTACAAAAACAATTGGACGCAGGTTTCATTCGCGTATGTAATTACCCAGAATGGGTAGCGAACATCGTCCCAGTCCCTAAAAAGGATGGAGGAGTTCGCATGTGTGTCGACTTTAGGGACCTTAATAAGGCTAGCCCTAAAGACGATTTTTCTCTACCACATATTGATATATTGGTAGATAACATGGCTGAACATGCGATGTTATCCTTTATGGATGGATACGCAGGTTACAACTAAATTTTAACGGCAAAAGAAGACGAAGAAAAGACATGCTTTATTACCCCTGGGGGGACGTATTGCTATACATTCATGCCATTTGGTTTAAAAAAATGCAGGAGCTACGTACCAAAGAACGACTACGACTCTCTTGCATATTATGATGCATAAAGAAATAGAAGTGTATGTGGATGATATGATCGTAAAGTCCAAAGATAGAATGGGACATATAAAAGCTTTACACAAATTTTTCACTCGCATAAAAGATTATAACATGCGATTAAATTCACAAAAATGCGCCTTCGGGGTAACTTCTGGCAAGTTACTCGGATACGTAGTAAGCACTCGCGGTATTGAGATTTTGATACCTCTAAAATAAAGGCAATTGTTGACATGCCTCCCCCTCAAACAAAAAAAGAAATTAGGGGGTTCCCTGGCAAATTGCAATACATTAGTCAATTTATTAACAAATTGACTATGACTTGTAAGCCAATATTCAAAAAATTGAAAAAAGAAGGAAAAACATGAATGGGACGATCAATGCCAAAAGGCCTTTGAGAAAATCAAAGATTATCTCAAAAGTCCACCAATTTTAGCACCACCAGTACCCAAACTACCTCTAAGGCTATACATAACAGTTACAGACACGGCCACAGGAGCCATGTTAGCACAAGAGGTAGAAAAATTCGAGCGTGCAATATATTACATAAGTAAAAAATTCATCCAATATGAAACAAAATATAGCACTCTAGAAAAGACGAGTCTAGCATTAGTGTGGGCAACTAAAAAATTACGACATTATATGCTACCACACACCACTCATGTGATTTCTCAACAAAATCAAATAAAGTATTTGTTTGAACAACCACCTATACAAGGAAGAATATCCAAATGGTTGGTGATGTTGGCTGAATTTGAGTTAAAATATATTCTAGAAAAATCAATGAAAGGAAAAGTAATTTCCGACTTTATGGCTCAACATCCAATTCAAACAAGTCATGCAGAAACTACTCATCTTCCGGATGAAGAGATTCTCATGACACAAGATGACAAATGGGTAATGTACTTCGACGGTGCATCCAACCAAAAAGGACGTGGCGTAGGAGTGTTACTCATAAGTCCAGAGGGAACACATACTCCAATATGTGTAAAATTAGACTTTGAGATTACTAATAATGTCACAGAATGTGAAGCATGCATTATTGGATTATAAGTAGCAGCTAGCATAGGTGTGCAAAAATTAGAGGTATATGGAGATTCCAGTTTGATTATAAATCACATACTGAAAAAATGGAAAATAAAGAACTCCACAATGATATTATACCAAGCACACTTAGAGCAACTCATCGAGCATTTTGAACATATTGACTTCAAATATCTCCCTAGGGATGATAATCAATTTGCCGATGCGCTAGCAAAATTAGCCTCAATGATCAACATTCCAGATCACTTAAATATGATGCCATTATGCGTTGAAGAGAAGAACCATCATATTGCAACGCAATAGTGGAAATAAATGACATAGAAGGAAACAGTCCTTGGTATGATCATATCCTCCAATATATTACTCATGGTACATATCCCGAAAATACTTCATCGAAAGACCAACGAGCCTTACGAACACTTGCGGCTCAATACGGTCTATTAAATGGTCAATTATGCAAAAAAGGACCTAATGGTCAAAGTTTGTTGTGTATAGACCAACCCGAAACCACACGCCTTATAATGAATACTCACAAAGGTGTCTGTGAACCTCACATGAATGGTAAAATGCTCGCAAAAATAATTTCACGACAAGGGTATTATTGGTTCACTATGGAACATGATTGCATACAATATGTCAAGAAATGTCCAGAGTGCCAAATGTTTGCTAATTTACAACACCTTCCACCATCTAAACTATATAATCTCACTTCCCCTTGGCCCTTTTCAACTTGGGGAATTGACATAATTGGAAAGGTCTCTCCAACAGGAGTAGGATGGCACGAGTACGTATTAGTAGCCATCGACTACTTCACTAAGTGGATTGAGGCTGCTTCTTACGTTAATATCACTTCTAAACATGTCGCAAAGTTTCTCGAACGAAACATATTTTGTAGATATGGAGTTCCACACGAACTAATTAGTGATCAGGGGTCACAATTCAAAGCTGAAG